AAGGGTTGGACCTGCGAACCTACTTACTCATGTTGGATCTGGATTATTTTTCACGCATAGTCTATTTAGAGTTTATTCACAGAAGAAAGAACGTTGCAGTGCCATCAAAAGGGACGAGTACTGTGCTTCTCTGTCTTATCATCATCAGGGAAAGGTTAGTGCCTCTGATCACATGCAAATACAGGATTACGGTATTAGCGAATATACACTCATTTGCAGACGAATTTGGTTTTTCGAGAGACCCAATTAGTTTGCAAATGAGTGTATATTCGCTAATACCGTAATCCTGTATTTGCATGTGATCAGAGGCACTAACCTTTCCCTGATGATGATAAGACAGAGAAGCACAGTACTCGTCCCTTTTGATGGCACTGCAACGTTCTTTCTTCTGTGAATAAACTCTAAATAGACTATGCGTGAAAAATAATCCAGATCCAACATGAGTAAGTAGGTTCGCAGGTCCAACCCTTCATAAGTGGCTGAAGTGTGAGTAAGCCAAACAAAATCCACGTTATTATCTCTGCATATCCACCGCCAAAGAATACTCAACTGATGACATGCAATCTACTGCTAGTTTGGAAACACTATTCTCCACATTTTATTGCCACTTATCCCGTTGCATTGACCGCTGTTTGTAGTTTTTCACTATATTGAAAAAGACAAGGCCTAATTAGCTTGGATGGCCTTTTTGAATCTATTCAAGTGCCTCAATGAAACATCACAATCTACGGCAGCTCCTACGTTTGAGGTCTTTCGCATAAGAGATTTCGTCCCATCAGCGAAACCAATATGCAGCTGTTTCATTTTTGTTGGAAATCTTCAGCGGTGCGCATCTCACGAAACTCAGAGAGTTTCTAAGCAGCGACTTACCGGCCAGTGGCTGAACGTCTAATCACATGACTACGAATGGCAAGAGTGATTAACTCTCACTTAGTCAGGACATAGCGTCACTCATCCAACAGTGACGGAATCCGCAACATGTGGTTACATGCTGACTGGCTCTTAGATTAACGACTTCTGAGAAGCAAGTTTCACTCATCTTGTGAAATTGATCTTCCTCTGAGCTACTGAGTGATGACCGTTGGGTTTTCATCTTCCTATCTAACCATTTCGGCTCATATGTTAATGAGCCTAACGGAGTACTTACTGTTTAGATAGCGTGAAGGCTGTTCGAGAAATGGCCACTTTCGCTCAGTATCAGGAGAAACTGCGCTTCAGGAACCTTAGAAATACGTTTCAAATGCCAGAAACGCATCTTCTCGTTACCGAATTCTATCTGATGGAGTAATGACCCCTCACTTTTTACCTAGTGTGCCAGTTGCCTTATCGACTTGCCACCTTCAAACTGATTGTCCTGCTCATCGCTGGGCTTGCACGAACACACCTGCTTACCCCTCGTGGTTGGTCTTCAGACTGTTGGGCTTGTTCTGACTTGTCCTGTCACGGTATCCCGGTTGACGCACCGCCACAAACAAACCTCGGCTAGGAAGGCAGGCAGACCGCACCATCTCACCACCATGGTGTAGGTTTCAACCTGGCTTGCGATGCCCTGATCTGCCATAGACAGACCCTCGTTCGGGCTTATCGGCAGTGACAAACATTTTCGTACCTAATTCCTCCCTCTGATTCTCGGGGTCATCTGTCCTACGTGTGACACATGGCACCGTATGGGTAACTTAAGACCTGGATGCAGCCACGTATGCTCGGCACGAAAATATGGGCTAACAGAGAGAGTTCTTGACAAACGAAATTTGTTTACAAGAAGGCAGGTCAAACTTGGACTCCGCTTTCAGTCAACCAAGCAAAAACTAAGATTAGATATCTGCTCCGCAAGTTTCAGCTATTAGATGTCATGGCGTGAATCCAAAATGCTTGGAGTAACGCATCACGTGCGAAAGTTTACGAAAGTTCGCCTATGATCGATTCGTCTAGGACCGCTGACTTGAACAGAATTGCAGTTTAGCAACCACTTTGATGTTCCTATACCTCAAGTAACGCGAAGATATTGTAGGATTTCTTCTGACACCAGAAATCTTGTTAGCCGACAACCCGAATTCCGATTGGTTGTAGGTGTTTGTGGATTTGAACAGTTATCCTGTCCTGAAGTAATTATTTTGGCGGGTCTTCACCAAAGATGGGTAAGCAGCGGGCTCGAGTTTCGCCCTAATAAGGGCTCATCAGCAGTGCTTAAACTTGGTCTTGCTGGAGCTCGGACTCCGGGCGCCTGACACGAGAGACAAATGTGTTACAACTACTCCACTAGCCATTCTGCACGCATCTGAATTCTAACGTCACGATTGGGTCTTGTGATTGGTTTACTCAGCAGGGCCAAGGACCGGACCGCTGATGAGCTCCAGTAAACTCTGATAAACTCCAGCCACTGCTTCCTCCCTTTGGTATGGCTGTTCGAACGAGAGTGATATGAATATGATCTGAAGTACCCTGAAACTCTCAAGGAGAAATATGACGAGAACGTAGAACTGCCTATGGTACTGAAATACTGAAATACGCTACACTTTCGCCACTCGAAGATTTGAGCTAGAGTCATGGTGTGCATGTGTGTGACTGTTCGTAGCTGACCTGCTTAAATATGGTTGTTCGTGCCTCGATTGTTGAGCTTGCACTAACTTGTTCTGTCATGAGATTCGTATGATCGCACGGTCAATCAGCATCACGAGACCGTCCTCGGAAGGGACGACTGCAGCCAGAACAACAGAGACAACATTCAGCTCACCATCGTTTGGTGTGCAGACATTGACGCTGCACTGTGCCAGTCAATAACAGACCTGCACACTTGTTGACGCCACGAAGGTGGACAGTTGAGGTTGTCTGTATAAATTTACTCACCTTTGTGTACATACTACCGCAGACTTTTGAACTCAAACTCTTCCCTTTGATACTTGGAACGTGGAACCCGTATCGGAACCTCAAAGCTACCTCATGGACATCATCCAAAAGTGGTATCTTGTGGTATCTTCCTTCTTCTAAACAAGACGATAACAACTTGTTACGATGGACCGGCACAGGACCGTTACAGTTCTATATTGCTAGGGCGATCAGACGGACTGATTATTATCCGATCAACTCCAAGGATTTTTACATTATCGAAACGATGCTGTAGTACACTATTTTCCCGTACATTTTTCTCTTAAGACCTGCAAATTTCTATCCGCGAAACGTCAATAACTTGTGAAGTAGCTGGGTAACTCACTATATAATCTGTGTATTGCGGGGAGTCTGCTGATTAGTCAAGTTTACTTACGGCTTTGCCTTGAAAGCACGGACGGTGAAAGCCTCTTGCACTATTTCTGTCCATAGGACCAGCTGGCTTGCGTCCAAAGTGTATTGGAGATCAACAGTAATTCGGTGGCTCGAAACGTGCAAACGGTCGTCATAAATAAAGGTGTTTCCCATTTGATACTAGCATTAATTTGAATTAATGTGCAGATTTTTAACCGGTAAATCTGTTTGTTCACTGGACGGATGTGCTCGCCCCATTAAGCCCGAGGTGGTTTGTAACTGTTAATGGATTCAGCACATCCGGGCGCCAGGTGGGCGGTCAGTTTCTTATGGTTTGGCGCACTAACAGCTCAAAAAACACAAGCAAGAACCCTCAGCTTCATACGACTGACTGCTGTTGGCGTCTCTGCAACAACTTCAAAAACGCACACTGTCAACCTCATCGGTTCCTGTTCGTTTTCGCTCTAACACACATTCGTTAACTGAGAAATAGAGTTGACAGCCTAGTGCACTCTCAACATACACGAGGACAAACACCGTCCTGTCGGAAATCCGGAACAGGTTGGGCTTTAACCGCATGCTTGCTGGTGTTTGTACGTTGTTTTCGGGTTGGTTACTATGACGATATGTCTATACGCCGCACGTAGATCGCATAGACGGATTAGATTCGGTTGAGCAACGAAATAGACACGCGCGAACACCTCTAACGGGCGGGCATTGAATGTTGGTCTGGAAAAGTGCAACACGGAAATTTAGTCTGTCACTCGGTCGTATCTAAGTTTTTGACGGATTTCTGAAGCTTTTTCAAACGTCTACATTAGTCTGACGAAAGGGGAAAAGGAACAGTTGTCCTTTCAGGGACCAATTATCACCATCCTTGTTAGCATCAGCCGCAAACAGGCGGTTTCGGTGGCTGTGCTGGGGCTCAGTGATTAGAAACCTTGGGTGTACTATGAACTGTGGGCAACGTCCTTCAGAGGAATAACATTGATTCGGTCAACTTTTGAATTTCCCAAAGCGCTTTGAATGCATTGAAGTACGAGGTTCACAAAACAGAACGAAGTGGTTTTATAGCGCCAGTCAATTTAGCCTTGAAAAGCTTGAAATATCCAGTTTCTCTATAAATTTTTGATGTATCCTGTTTTTCCAACAATTGTCCAGTTACACGGAAATCTTAGATATGTAGCTTATGCGACCAAATGGTCTTTCTCAACAGTTGTTTCCAGGCCAGTTGACAAAGGTCAAACTTGCAAAATGAAAATGTTATTCAAAAGAGTGATTTGAAGAGATAGGGAGCATCCGGCCCCTCTTTTGATTTGTCTTTTCTACTCCTTAATCATGTATTATGTCACGACTAGCGGATAGAACTGTTATAATGCTGCCTCATAGAGGCATCTCTTTACGGGGATTGCTGCACTTTTAAATGAGAAATGAGTCGCTTTTAACTCGAGGACAGGGTTTTCTAATCACCTCCTTATTGATAAACTGACATGAGATGCCGTTGGGCACTCTACATATCTTGGTGGTTGCTTTATCTCTGGTGTTAGTGAGACGGTCGAGGTGCCCATATGAATCTCATAGGTAAAAATTGCGTCCCCGTACCACACTAGGGTACGAGTTGTCTTGTTGAGTGGTTGGAAGAAGTGGTCTTGGTGGAGAAGAGTAATGAGGCGCCGTTAACCATCAGTATCATGAACCAAAGATTGATTGCATCAACACTAGTAGGTTAACAACGGGCTTACCGGGAAGCAGGGGTTTATTCACACAACCGGTGGCTGGTGCATTTTTGCGCGCAGCCTTAGTCGCGAGCTACTTTGTCGGGGCCTTTCCATCAGTACTCTTGCGGGCATTTTTCTTGGTGCGCGCGATCTCTGTGAACTTTTCCCGTAGACGGAGCGGTAGAGGACGGGGCCATAGGGTCGAAGGCATTCGGACGAGAGGGAAATTTCGCGTTCAATCCACGAGAAGAAGCTAAACGGATCTTCATCGCCTGTGAGCAGTTCGGAGTATTCCTCGACGACGTACTGCACTGACGGCATGTTACAAGACTTAAGCGTTCGGACATGCAACTCGCTCACGCCAGTGCTTGAGTAACCTTGAAGCTTGACGGCGCCATACTTTGCCACCAGTTTTCCCGATTGAGTGCCTATTGCTGCCAATTATGGGTATATAGGGGGGATACTCGTATCTAGTTGTCTAGCTAATGAGAAGCAGCTACCTGAAATTCTGTCATCAACTGTTTCATAAACGTATAGAATTATATTTTTTAGCGTTTGTTCGGGTTGATCGCTGTCTGGTGTAGGAGTTGATTTAAGACGGAATTTGTATCCACTGAATACGAAAATTTCGGATCCTGGTATGCACCGAAAAGATAATCCTTTTAAACGCCATAGACGGCGACAAAAATCATTCCCAAAACTTGAACAACGCAATGTTCGAATAATTAGTCAATCTGATGGAACTATTGGGAAATCCCTTGTATTTTTCAAAGGAAGGTACTTCTTAATCAAACCTAATTAACTCTGAAACCAGAAAGTGATGGGAAAATATAGCGGGCTGGATTTGGAAGCGCAGTTTCCCTTGTTTGATAATTGGTGCCCACCCTTCATTTTCGTAAGAGAATTGGTTCCAGATTGGCCTAGTGATGACACAAGATCTATTTTCCGATGCAATTTCCACTTTTTACCCTTCTGACCTTATCTGAATATGAAATATAAACCAAATTCCACATTTTAACCTCTATTTCTGGGCGAAATCCGCTATGGTCAAAAGCATGTTCCTTCTATTCTTCAGTAGTGCTCTTTGGGCGCTGTTTCGCCAAAGATCCCAAGCCAGTGTACCTGAGCACTTAGTCATCATCTCCAAATCCAACATTAGCAAGTAGTATCATGGGGATTCTGGGGAGGAAATTTTCTGATTATGCTTTCCAATTTTCCATGCGCAAACGGTTTTGGTGACATTTCGATAATTACAACTAGCAAACAAACTGACCTATATGTGCCAGATAAATGGGAGTCGGAATATCCTTGTGAGTTGGCATTTTGATTGGTCAACGCGATAACCCATATTTTTAAAGTCTAGGTAAAAACCAACTGCGATTTCACAGGGTTTAACAAGGTTGGCATACAGTATTCTTAATGTATGCGACCTTCTCTTCAGGCTGCTCCACTGACGATATTGCGCGAGGATAGCCTCATCGATTCCCACGATGCCACGGAATATGAAGATTTTACCGCAAAACGAAGGAAGGTGAATGGAATCTCATTCGTGGAGTGTTCAGCTTCCTGGAAGAATGTACATTAACCATTTTATGGGGAAGACATCTTGAACCGACGACATCTTGAACCGACGACATCTTGAACCGTATAACAATGTTTTGATGTCAGATTTTCAGTAAATGAGCGTACTTGATTTACGCGTAGACAATGCTTATCGTAGGTGCATGCAGTGCACTAGAAAAGTGGGAATATTAGGGTTTGTTTTGCAACCAAACGGGCGGTTTCTCTTTATCGCCTTTGTCAATAGCAAGGCTACGGCAAAGATAAGCGCCTCATAGTCCCATCGGTTTTGCCAGTGTGTTTAACTGATAGAGGTCTTTGTAACTTGAAGAGGGCAGAAAAAAAGCCTTCGAACCTACATCAGAGATGTTTCGGGAAGTGCTGAGTCTGCGTTATTCGTGGAACGGAGTATACAGATAAATGGAACATGCAGAACATAAGGTTGACGGAAACCCGGGAGCTGCACCTCCCTGATATGTTCTCAGCTGTCCTATGAGTCGACCTTACGTTCAGAATAGTTGTTGTTGTTATGCTACGAAAACTGTCTTGCTGCTTGTTTGGCTGTGTTCTCACCTGTCCTATGAGTCGATCTTACGTTCAGAATAGTTGTTGTTGTTGTTATGCCACGAAAACTGTCTTGCTGCTTGTTTGGCTGAATACAATAAGCTGAGAACTGAGAACAGCTCATCGGTCACTTTGACATTATCCTTTGAGGTAGTTCTTCAACGAGGTAATGACTGTCAGATCACGTGAAATTTACCTGCGAGGCTGCAGATTGAGTGGCGCTCTCCTAACTGCGTACAGACCACCTTTAGCAGATTTAGTGTTTCATGGCCGACGAAATCTCGCAGGTTAGAATATCCCATGCGATTCACGGGATGCTAACCACTGTGGATCCTCAACAAGAATGAACCAAATTGCCAGTTCTTCTCCTCTTTCCAGCAGCTCATGGATCTAACTTGCAGAGTGAAATGTATTACTTACAATTCACGAAATCCCCTTAGCACTTAAACAGTCAAATCTCTGCAACAAAGAGCATTTGGAACGACCGAGACGATTACTCTTCGCTTACCTGACTCGTCCATGTGGCACCGGAAGAACTTGGGACTACCTTGGTTAGTATAGTACGTAGCAAACTAATCAGATTGCCTCCACCTTTTTGACCTACCATGGAGCTTGTGCCGCCTGAAAAACTCCATTCCCTATTTTATACCTACATTTGCCGTAAGAGGCACTATTGAGTCCGTATGTTTCCAGGCCTCTGTGTTTCGGAAGTAAAAAGGTCGGGAAACTCCTATTGTGGTAATCGACTTCCTAAACGACTTTGACGTCACCGAGTGAATTTAGTGGTATCTGATTAGCCATCCTTATTGTTCGTTCCCTATGAATAGCTTGTACTGCCTTACAGTAATACTTGGGCATGGCTTGTTATAGGGGCTCTCATTTGTTGGTAATCATCATCACCAGAAACGGTCAAATCATTTTTTCATTTACATTTGACGGTCATGTAAGCACAACGTCTATCAAACTGTAACTAAAGCCCCAAATTGAAACACGTAAAGACCAAATTTGGAAAGGGGCTATTGTCGGCCTACCACAAGTCTAAATTTTCAAACGTCCAGTTGGTCTATCCGGAAGACAAGGTTACTTTCGTATTGCATTCCAACGACACAAAGCTTCTGTACATCTGTCCTTAAAGTCATACGAACCCCATTTGCCTATCGTGAAGAACAACCTACTTTCATTCGAACAATATTCGTTACAGTGGTTGTCAGGGTAACCGAAGTTGAAACCACACCCAAAAGTTGATTGAAGCAGTTTGCGTTCGAACTAATCCCATTCAATTCGAAATTTGAAGTCTCACGAACGATGCACTGGTTAGAGGCTGCTTACTCTGATAAGGTGACGAACTTATGGTAACTTACTGCAATGGTATTTAACGGGGCAAAATAATCAAATAAGAAGAAAATGAAAGTTTTGTCCTCATCCTGAACTCTCAGCAGGATATTTAGCTCAAATTTTGAGTCGGAAGTAATAATCTTTGTCAAGACTACGTATAATGTGACATTCATTTTGAACTTCTCAGATAACCCAATTACTGAGGTAGTACTGGGTCATAACGATTGACTAGTGCAGGCCATTCATCCAATTGAGATGGATTCTGTCAATAAGCTCTTGGTGTCTTGTCGTGACACACTGACAAGACTGCCAGCAGGCTTCTGCAAAACCATTGATGTACAACGGTTTAGTAAGAAGCACTACTGTGTGGGCGGAAGAAACGACCAGAATACCGTTTTTTAAGTCTAAAAGTTGAATTTATTAGAAAACAACACTGTCCCATGTGTTTGGTGGTATTCGATTGAGGCCACGTGCCGATAACATGCACTTGTAGGGCTTAGCCTCCCCTGAAACGTGCAACTGTCCTCATTACTCCCAGTTCATAATGTTTCTCTTATTGCTGCGTAAGGCTTCCAGTTAAAATCGGTCTCTTGGGGAGCCATTCTGGGGAAAAGTCTCCGTCTGGTTGCTCAATCTCAACCCCGCTTGCAATAAAACCTGGAGGGGGGGGGGGCAAAACCTTAGTTTGTAAATGAGTGAATATTCGCTAATTTCGTGCAATTTGGTTTCAAGTAGAACATAAGGCTGACGGAAACCCGGGGACTGCGCCTACCTGATGAGCCCCAAGAAGGGCAAAACCGGTCGTGAGCTGTCGATGGATTTTCAACAACCTTATGAGTAGTACATTACAAAGATATACATGTATCGCGATATTTCAAATATCGTAGCGACTGAAACATGAGGCGGCCTGGTGCAGAACATTCAGTTGTCTGAGAACATCATAAACGAGAGATTCAGCTGGGTTCCAGGTGAGTCTCTCGAAAGAACCAAATTAGTTTGCAAATGAGTGTATATTCGCTTTTCTGGTTCTTTGTTTGTCGGTCAGGTGGCTGTCGGCTTTGAAGGGAAACCCTCATCGGTACGACCAACGTTGATCACCCGAGTGGTGGTGAAACTTGCCCAAACCAATCGCTTACCTCGATGAACGGATCAGCAACACCCAAGCTATCTACAAGAAACGCATCTGAGCCCCGAACACTGGTCAACCGTTTCTACCCCAATTGTCACAACCGAAAACATCTGCCGATCAAACAGTGTCCATAGATAACCCTCATAAGTGTGCTGATGCAATTATGAAGAGAGATATCTTTTGTAAGCTAAGTGATGTGAGAGAAGAAAGTTACTGAACACGCTGGCTTGTGGTCACACATGATTTCATCTATTTCATTTATGTTTCTCGGCAGGTTATGAGACAGCACATTATGGCATCTCCACTCACACAGACAGTTTACTATGGTAACTTCAGTTGTTGAGGCCCAAAAGCGTGCTTAATGAGAAAGAGCTGATGGGACTGCAAGCTACGGGAATAGCTTATCTCTAATGTGAAGCTTAATGTGGCCGTCGTCGTCACCGTTGGATTGTCCCCACACATTACAACTGACTCTCTGTGGGACGGGCATAATCGGCGCATCGCATGTTTGTCACAGCCCGATAATTTGGATATACTACGGCTACACATGTATGAGGAGGAGGGCGGGGAGATATGCGAATGAACTGATGGGGCGTATGATGAATCGCATGTGCGCTGTTCATTCACAAGGGAAACAAATAAGTTCCGCTTAATTGCTACCGCTAGTGGAGACGCAAACACTTCATAGGTCTACTGTTTACACGGCTTGACCTCGAATTAAATTAAATTGGTGAGAATATTCGTCAGATCTCCGGATATACAGCATGCAATCATGTGCTCACATTGTTTAGAAAATGCTCGTTTTAGCCTTTGGAGATGGCGTGAGCATTGTTCACTTTCGTGAACTAAAGAGGCCAATTCTGAGTTCTGATATTTAGCTGTTGCTAACTAACTAATATGGAAGTTAGGAACGCATGACTATTCCAAGTTTTTACACGTTGGTAATAAACCTGAACTGACTCCTCAAAAGATCGACAGCTAACGCATGCAGTCTACCGGCCTCATGTGACGTGAAGGTGACTGAAGCATAGGGTAGTTCAATCGAAGCACGCGACTAATAGTCATGACCAAAGTAGTTTTCAATTATCATTGTTATCTGAAACGGACACGGTGTACGAATGGTTGGTGATAATTACGAGGTATCTGAGCCAGTTGGTGAGATTCAGCACCGAACAGTGTGTAAAATCGTTATATTAAATTGCCAGCCTTTACAAACATTTCGTCCTATGTAGGGGAGATGCCGTTGAAAGCAGACATCGATTTTCGGAGACAATTAATTACTCGCTTTCCAACACCTACGGAGGCCTAATGCCCCTAGTTCGAGATGGCTACCGTGTCCGCCAGAATAAGCGAAAATTTATAGAATGATGCTGGTTATCCCTTGGCTTCAACAAAACTTCTGCTTCCGCGTGAGTTGTCAGCTCATTTTGAGGCAAGAACTTCGGATAAACTCTGAAGTTTCTAAATCAACAAGAATTGGCTCGCTCAGTTTTTGGGATTGGCTGACAGTTCAGTCAGTCTCGTCTACAATCTTGAAGTTCGACCAACCCAAACTATGTTCGTATCAGCGAAGATTCGCAAAACGGTGTTACATTTTAACGCAGTACAACAGTGCTAATGGACCAATATTCCCACAAGCCTGGGCTGTCCAATAACACAAACTGGCTGGTTAGATTATTTGCTTTCGTTAGCTTTTCGGTGTTTGTATAACACTCTTGTTGATAGCTACAGGAAAATAAAAGCATCACGAGCCTAGTTATCACACAGTGATTATCAGGTTTGGACATTTCATTCAGAGCATCGGCCAAGGTAGATCAGGTGGAGAAGCAACCATGCAAAAATTCATCCGACATTAGTGACTGGCTTGAGGAATAGACTAAGCAGATCTGGTCAACAGCTTTTAGCCAAAGAAGTCTGTCACAATGACCGCAGCTGGGCGAATTATTTTTTGCCCTTTTAAGTGTTGGTGCGGAGTGGTCAGGCTGGGTTGGAATCCGACTTTCCAAGCGTTAGTTTCTTCAGAAACGTCCCTCCAGTTGTTCAAATCTTCCACCAGGAAACACTTCATTGAACAATCAGGTTCTAACCGACGTAGCTAGTTTGTTTGAATTCGGATAAAAATCTCTTTGGAATTCATTTTTAATGAGGTGGTTTTACTATGGAAGACGTGCATTTGACGGAGACCTGGGAATTTCAGTCAAATTCCAAATCAGACGCACACTTCAAATTCATTCAATCGTGACCAGACTTGCATGATAAGTAGGTGACGTCCAAAACACGCGCGAGGCCTATCATTTACAAACATCTTTGTAACCTACAGAGATGTGAAATTCTTCAGAATTGTCCTCCGCTAAAATGCTTTGGCTTTCGATACTGACCCAGTCAACCAGTTCCATTTATCAGCTATAAACCATGTAAGGTGTTATATTAGTTCTTTTCTAACAAAACAAGCTAGAGTAAATTTCTGAGAACACTAAGAAACAGGAAGCTCCCTCTCAATGAGGAAAGTTCAGATTAAACTTTGTCAGGCCCATCTGATACTGAGTAACATAAGTAACACAACGGATGTACTAAAACATGGACAAATGACGGCTGATTCGAAAACCTCTGGGAGTTGGATGGGCCTCATTCGTTGGGTGTAAAGTCAGTCACTTCCCTGAAGGCACACATATCATTACTTATTTAATAGTGTTTTACGTGCGAAGCTGAAATTTCACGACCACACTTGTGGATACAATCAACTGCGTAATAATCGTACACTGGTTGAAAAAAAGTCAGCCAGGAGCATGAAGTCTACCAGAAAGAAGTTTTGGCTGTTGAGATGCAAATATCAATTTCAGGCTACTCACTAATGGAACAGCCGAGTGACAGATGAATCGGTGGTTAAGAGCTACTCGAAGATGTTCTGCATGTATGCGGGTACGGAATGAAATTTTGCATCGGATATCACCAGGAAATCATATCACACGAACCGCCAAAATGTCTAGTAGTCCCAAATGCTCACATTTGAAGTCTTACTAGAACCTTAAAGATGGAACAATAATTCAGTAAAGAGGGTTTTCAATGTGAAACACCAGAAGCAGAACTACCTTCACATATTTGTCACAGCTCTTTGTTACTGTGCAAAGATTCAGCATTGTGCAATTACTTGCTCACGTATTAACTCACTTACTTACATACTTACCCACTTTTTGATAGACTGATTGACTTGTTTGCTTACTCATACACCCTTTGACTTATTTACTTACACACTTAATTAATTACTCAATTCCCTAATTGATTACTTGATCACTTACCTGCCCATAACTTACTGAGGGCAAACCCTAACGAGTTAAATTTCCGGCGTTCTGACTTCATACTGTTCTGTCAGTGTACACCATCAAGGCTTGGCTCTTCGTTGAAGGTGGCTTGTTAAAAATAAGTGGCTCTAGTTGTCGCAAGCTCACGCTTGGACCGATAAATTCAAGAATTCAGATGTATATTTTCTCAGGCTTCCTAACCTAACCGGATACCGCAACGAAGTATCCTTCGATTCGAATCCAAGACCATGAGCCTAAAAGAATAATCGGACAACATGAATAAAAAGGAGCCTAGAAAACGTGGTCTTTTGAAGTCAGACTCCATTTTCAGATCGTCTTTAGGCATCTGGATGTGACCTGATGGCGCATATTTTGTAAACAATATAAGCTGCATCTGAACTAAAAGCGATTTGCTTCGAAAGTAAAAAAAAATGAGCACCAACTTTTCCCATACTCTGAAATTTGAAGTAGAGTACTTACCTTTGGTCAAAATATGAGTTGCCAGCTTCACTTGAGAGAAGTTTCCCGTGCCTATAGTTTCCTGAATTCTGTAAAATTCTAACCCGGCGGTCGTAGTGTTCACTCTCAACCGACCTATTGGCGCGTTTCCACCAATCTCAGTTCTGCATTCACTGGACTTCAACAGAGGCATGGGTTGACCCTCTGCTGTCTTTGTGGATACGGTTGGTTGAAACTTGCTTGTTTGTACCGGGTCCAAAAAACCTGGACAAGAAGGTGCAGCTTTCAAAATACCTGGTGAATCCAAATAAGCAAATCGACCGGAGCCAGAAGAGTCGGTATATTGGCGGCTGAGCATCCCACTGGGTTTTGAGGACGTCGACGACGTCCTAAACGAGCTTGTGGATCGTCGTTTTGACTGCCCACTGGCCTGATTATCAGTTGAGCTCCCAAGTTCAAAGTTCACTTGAGTTGGTGGGGAAGGATGGATGCGGGACTCTTCGAATGGACAATTAGAATCGGAAGTAGGAGAGTTTGTAGGCCGCATCGAAACACTGTCTTGCTTCTGAGTGGGTTGTCTGTTTGACTTTTTGACATGGTGAGATTGTGGTATCCCTCCTACCGAGGAAAATCGATGGGATGATGAAATTAATTTCTGAGACGATTTACGTGCGGCCGGCTGCAGAGCGTTTTCAGCGATTCGGCTGAATTGTTTTCCCACTTGTGAAGAAAGTGATTCATTTGAACGAGATTCACCGACCGGATGTCCCTGAGGTACAAGAATTGATTGCATAATGGAAGCATTGAACCAGTCATTTTCGGTGTTGCGGGGCGGTGCAGTTTCACGGCTCGCTCGTGACATGGACTGACCAACAATAATAGTGTTCCTCAAATCACTGCCTATCAACTGAGCATTATGCCGAGGAGATTTCTCTTCTCTTTTCTGTGATAAAGAAAGATTTATGGACTAAAGTGCACACGACAGTCAGAATAAGTTTTAAATACCATATCCGTTAGAGAAAATCTAAAGAGATCTTTCTCTTCATGCCTAATGCGTGGAGCACTACAGGTTCGGAGTACTTTCAGCGGAGACTTCATTCTGTCAGTGGAGCCAATGCATATTGAAAAATTGAGAACAATTGTGCACTTATGTTATCACTGGGAATTATCAGCTATGCACACCTCATGTATCTCAGGGAGCTTCGAACCCGTGACCTTCCAGCTAGTGGTTTTACCGTGAGCGGCTGAACAGCAGTGTAATGGACAGCAGATAGCGCCAATGATGAGAATCAGATCCATGTGTTGACCTACTCTCTGAGAGTCGATTTCTGAGAAGAACGTTTCACTCATCCTCTGAGCTACTTATTGATTGATGGGGATGATGGACGAACCAGAGGACCCCTTCAAATCACAAGTAACGTAACACAATAAGTAACTCGTGTTAACAACCTTGGTGTGTGAAAGTTTTTTAAAAATTACAAGCGTAGCTGACTGAAGGCTGACCCGTTTCACACGTAAGTAATATTTCTGTTCCAATCAAAACTTGAGGAATTCTCTGAGGGTGTAAAAATCAGATACAACGGCTCGACGACCAGTCGTACGGCATTTTGCAACCTGAATGCGTGAATTCCGCGATTGAATGACGATTGTCTTGCTTCCCATGAACAAATTGTTTGAACCAGTTTTGTTCACTGATTTTTTGCAATGTAAGACATCCCGATGTTTTGACAGGGTTTTCACGACAATCTGATGGAAAGCTTAACGTCTTTCAAGAGGTACATAAAAATGGCGTAAATGTAGCGGAATATAAAGAGTTGCAAATTTAAGATATCCAGAGAATTGTACAAAGACTCTGTTTCCATGCCGGTTTGTAAACCTCGCGGGACAAACCAACTCGTCATCATAAGACTCCCATCAGGTCATTCCAAGAGCCTTTATGCAACACTTGGTAAAAGTGCTCAAAAGTCCTAAAGCGAAATAGTTATGGGTTTTATTTCCGTATAAGTGCATCACCTGAAACAGCGCCTTCAGAGTTTACCTACACATATCCTATGGTTTCGTCCAAAGTTCGAAACGCTGCCTATGGGCTCTCTGATTCACTTCCGTGGAGCACAAATAAACAAATTAAATTCAGTCCCTACTCAATCCACAGCACCTTGCTTCACACATTAGTAATCGTATTATGGTCCGTAACCGTAGTTACTGATATTGCAGACAGAGAATGAGGAACCCCCATAAAATGAAAGCTGTGGGAAGTTTACCAGAGCCCTGAACAAACGAGAAGTTAGTTCACAGAAGCAAATGTGATCCATAAATTTACGAATTCAAATAGCCTTTGAGAATCCTCACATGAGTGAAGCAATGGCTTTTTCAAGTAAGGAAATCCAGAGTGTAAGCAATGGTGCTGAGAAAGAATAACGACGCCAACAGTGTTGGCTTTATAGACCGGATCCTCGTGAAGCTGTGCTAGGTGGCACCTTTAGTGTGTGAAGAAATGGTTTATGAGGCCGGTTTGTCGGAATTACATGACCTCTAAATCTTGTAAACAAGATCGAATGAATTTATAGCGTCTGGAGTCGAGACTAATGGGGGTAAATTCACAGCCTGATAAACAACTTTGAGGGGTTCCTCTGCGTTCATTCTACAGTTTTGATAGCACGCTTTAGCCTTGGATTCTATAGCGCACATTGTTGTGGAAGTGGTGATGCAATCGAACCCAGTCTATGCTGGGAAGCCAAAAAGCACTTTACAGCTGTTTCATCCTTATCAGCAGCGCGCACCTCAAAAAATTCCAGGAAGTCTCATATCAGTAACCTCCCGGCTAATAGTTTTCAGCACTTAACCGTTCGACTACGAGCAGATGGTCACCAGTATAACCAATCCTCACATAGATGGGATATGGGGCCATACAATTTACAACACGTGGTCACGTGCTAGTGGGCTCCTCGAGTGATACCAACACTTGTACAGTGATTATTGGCTTTTCAGCATGGATTAGCTTCAGTAACAGGATGGAGGTTCTGTTGCAATTTCTAATGATTTTGTAAAGTATCTCTCCTTTTCTCTACATTTAAATTGTTGACATTATAAGGGGAGCTGGAGGCTCCGTTAGACTTTTTATCCTGTAACGGAAGTAAGTCTAGGCTGAAAAGCTGAGAAGCACTGTAGAGCGCTTTCTTCCTTACTTGGAAGCATCACCATACCTGGGGGCTCGTGCCTTCGAAACCCGCTGGATTCGCGATGCTGAAGATGACCAATAAATGTGGGACAGATCTTATCGAATCCTTCGGTGCAGATTGCTTTCACCTGCAGGATGAACTCTTCTATGGTACGATAGCAGCGCATCATCTTGTGGTTTTAGGGAACAATTTCAGTGAACAGGATCAGTTTTTACATAATGACGATCATCTTCGTTTACATTGAGGACAATTTTGAGCGCGTCCCTGCAACCCATGGACAAAAATGGGGAAAGAACATTAAACTACAGTAGAGAAGGAGGAGGGAATATCGCGGATCTAGTGTGCATTCAAAAAACTACCATTCTTGGCAAAGTTTGCCTCGAAAGAAAAATTGAATTGGAAAGAAAACTGGTGGTTGCCTATTGCTGACGTTCATCAATACGATAGGGATAAGAACCGACAGCACGGGAGGCGCTTTCATCTGTCTGTGATACTGTCCTCATAAGATTTGTCCAATTAATTGGTCGTCGGACCCTTGAGAAGCAGCATCATGAGTGCTTTTCCATAAACACCAGCAAAGGCAATTGAGGTCATTCGGTAAAGGATGCCAGTGGTTGGCCACGGTGTCTGTGAGGCTCACTGTCGTCACGAGAAACCTTCGGTTCTCAGGACAGTATACCTGCCCCGAACCTGGCAAGTTTCAAGTAACCCCCACAACATCATCTTCCCTTTCAACTTAAGACAGTGCATTATGTTATCATCGTAAGCTTCTCAGTAGTGAGGCCCGCACGGAGATTTGATACTTCTTGTGTCGTGCTTACATTTACCGCTATTAAAGTTGTGGTGCTTGGTCCAATATATCACTACAGGTGATTAGACTGTTGACCTAGGTGAGACGAAGGTTTCAAGTAATGAATTTAAAGGGAGGTTTATTGGCCATGTGCATGCTCCCCTTAAATGCTGTGAGGTGTGACCTCTGTTGGTTGGGATATGATGTTCAGTATTGAAAAAAATATGCAACGAGACGAATAGAAAAGAAGTGGCTGTTGACGCGGTGGATGCTCTACTGTAGTGTTAATCCAGCGCGATAAGCTATGGTGGCGATGGGTTGCCAGGATACCATTCATCAAGAGGAGGTTTACCAATAACATAGATTACTATTCATCTGTGATTTCTTACTATCCTATCTACACTGACAGTGCTACATTAAACTGAAGTGGCATCGGAGCACCAGTAGTCAGCGTCTATATTGCTACTAGCTTTGACGACCACTGTTGAAGTTCCCGTTACGGACATTTGAGTGACACGTTGTTTCGACAATCTCTAATATCAAAAGGAAGAATTGAGTTCGCAATTCTACGGTGTTATTTACACAAAGGTAAACACATTTTACAACGAACCCCAATTGTTCACGTTCGTTTCATCAACAAGTGCACAAGTCTGTCACTGACTGGCACAGTGCCGTGTCAACTTCCGCACACGAAACAGCGGTGAGCGGAAAATTGGGTTGCAGTCGTCCCTTCCGAGGACGGTCTCGTGAAGCTGATTGTCTGTGCGATCACACGGAACTCATGAGAAAGTGAGTCAAGTCAGGCTCAGCAAATGAGGCACGAACACGCATATGTAAGTCAGCTGCGTACAGACACACACACACACACACACACACATATCATGTGAGTACTCAAGTGTCGGCGGGACGACCTTTCCGGCGGGGTGAGTGGCGGGAACAATTAGCAAAACAAGTGGAGATCGAAAGTACATGAACGGAGTAAAGATCATGAAGTAGCGCATGGAGTAAGGAGGTTGATTAGATCGGCAGGAAATCGGTGCAGATACCTGTAAACAGTGGGCTCCTAGTGCTGGGTCTCCGAGACACTACTGAAGACTTCTGTTAAAAATGAACTTGCACAGTCTGTATCTATGTGCCTCTCTGAACTTCAGAATACTTATTACGGTCAAATCAATATCACTGTAACATGTAGTGCAGTGACATCAGTCTCACCTTAGATCAACAATTCGCACTTCTGTAAAGCGTTACTGGTCGCCAATCAAGGATATATATTCACGTATTCGTCTCGAGTTTCTCACCTTGGAATGGTCAAGCGTTCGCTTCACGTGCGACAAACAGCAAAAACGATAGGCAATAGGAAGGGTAGAACATCACTGTGTTATCGTACCTTTGATCGGAAAACCACACACACACATGCACACAGCGCTCCTGTCTGTATGATAAGGCTAGCTGGTGTTGTTGTATGAAAGGAAAGCACCAATTTCTATGCTGGTTCGGTTATCAGTGGTAAGGATGATGACCGCAGTGCTGATGATAATAAAAGTGGAGGTAGGCTCTGACCTCATTAAAGTCATAAATTACAATTCAACTAGCTAGCATCAATCATGCTGCGTAAGGCAACAGCTCAGAAAGGGTAGCAGGAAATGATTTGTGCACACCTGAAGATCCAGCTCTAATCCCCTTGGCAAAGGCCTTAAACTGATCCGAAACTTCAATATTACAAAACCGCATTGGAACCGAATGCCGGGTGCGGATTTAAGTTTGTTAGTTGACTATCTTGAGAAGTATGCTGATAGCGTAGAAGGTTTTTGGTTTATTCGATGA